CTTAAAGTACCTTCCCAAAAGCCCAGACTATGGTTTAATAATTAAACAAGGGTGGAAGCCCCATGAAATGGATTGCAATTAAAAAAATACACTAAGGAAAACGCTGATTTAAATAAAGAAGTCATAACTACACTACACAATGTAACATCTTGTGAATTTCTCTAAATATTAGTTCTAGAATGAGCCATTGCAACACTACAACAATCTAAGCTGTTTTAAGTCAATCTTTCACAGCAATCTTTGAAACTCAGCACTACTTTTACTTCTCAGTGAAAATGCAAGTCACTAAATGTGCATGCTCGCTTTATTTCACCGATTTAATAGCCTCACAACATTGCTTTTGTGGTGAACTGAACACATGTGGAATCATATCCAGCATGTCCCTGCTCGATACAATTTGTTCTATAGTGTATGTTTCCTGAGACTATAAAGATACTCAGTACATAAACAAAACAAAATTATATGATGAAAGTGACACCTAAACAGTTGTTTATCTCGGCCTATCAACAGCATTCTTGAATTAGCTTACAGAAATTTTTCTCCATTCAACAAGGCCTAAAGAAAAGTTGACACCCCTCCTCCTCTAATCCAACTATAAATATTAAAACTACAGTAGTATTAATTTTGATTTTTACCCAACACTATAATTCACTATTTCCTACATAGAAATTAAAAAGATAATTCCTTAGTAACACTGATTTGCATTTAACCACTTACAAAAAATTCCCAAAGTAAAACATAATTTGAATTGTTCCAGTTTGGGAAATTTGTAACATGTAAACTGAGAACACACAGTATAATCCATGGGTAACTCTTGCAACTAAAATGCCATCTGTAAATGCTTTATTCATATGCACGCAGCAATAAATAGCTCTAGATAGTTCCTAAATAACATTGCAAACCACGTTATTGTTTAAAAACACATAACACGATACTACGACAAGCAAATACAGAGCATGTTCGAACATATTATTATTAAAACAATTTACTGTATGCCCCGAGTTTAGTAATTGAAGCTACATTTATCATACAGTAATGGATATACATTAATAATACTTTAACATACAAAGTTACGAATTTGCTATGTTAGCTTACCGCAAATTTCAAAGGTTTGTAAGCATCAGAATAAAAATGGAATTTTTTAAAATCTGCATAGATTTTCTCATCTTTCCTAGGAGCAAATCTCTTGAATGTTCTTTTCTGGGTTTGAGGATCCACTTGCAGTTGGTAGTCATTCATTCTATCACATATATTTTCCAATATTTCCGTTAAGTAGGTCTCTGACTTTACTAAAGGAACCTATTGGGGGAGGAAAATTGAATTTTCTTATTATACGTATTACCAAAATATCTTTAAGAAATTGTACTTCTATAGATAGATGTGTCATAGACAGAGAAAAAGAATCAGTGCACATCTCTTAATGTACATAATTGTTGACCCAGATTATATGACATACAGAATTAAAAATGTCAGCGAAAGCTAAAGTGACACTGAAAAATTAAACATTTAATCTTGCATAAAACATCGCTTTTACACTGAACCAATTCTAGAATGCCGTTATCATATTTTAATTTGTAAACATATTGTCATTCAAAAAGACAAATACCAAGCAACAAATAAGGAGACCGTAGACTACAGTTGATATGTTATCAACATAACCATGAAAGATTTCTTAAGTCACTTTGTTTCTTTAGTTGAAGTAGAGTTCTAGAAAGTCTTTTGCTTTCACTTGGTCTGTCTTAGTTGCTGTTCGTCAGCTCAGATGCAGCTGTTTAATACCTCCCAGGGGTTTTGTGAAGAAAATAATAGCTTACAAAATTTAACTTCTCCCAGGTTCTACTATTTCAGCTTTATTTTCGAACAGCTGGTCCATGTCTTTGTCCATTCCCTTTCCTTCAGAATTAAGCAAGAATTCAGCAGAAACATTTAGACACTACCTACATACTTAGTGAGAGTCTCACCAGCTAGTGCTCCAAGGGTCAAAGAGCACCCCTCGCCCCTGGTAACGGGGACAAAAAACTTCTCTCCCGTCTAGACAGGTCAAGGTGCAAGATGCTCCTATCTCTGTTGCTTCTTCCGGAAGGGGGCGTGAACTGAAGCCAAGTGCACAGTAAACAACAGTGCTGCATCCTTGGACCTTTAGAAGATTTTTCTCTCCACCCTCTGCTGATCAAAGTAGGAAGTTTTCATGACAACCATAGTCAAAGGGGCTGAATCACAAATGAACTCGATTTCTGCAATGTTGATATATCCAGTCTCTATTGTGTCTTTTCAGACACAGTATGAACCCTTCCGGTCTCAATGATTACATTACAGAAGCACTTTCACATGTGTGCTTCATTTACACAAAGGGTTTCCTTGCTTCACCACCATCTGGCCACAGATCAGATAAATAAAGGCAAAGAGAATTAAAATTAAAGCCTAAAGGTTTTTCTTCTTCTTAAACTAGGTCCCATTATGAAACTCTCCCGCCCTCAACCTCATTCTGTATGTGGAATCTACTTTTCATGAAACCTGGAAAAAGTAAAAAGGGTATGATGCAAACACTGAATTTTTTATTAAAAAGTCAGTTTTTAGTTTAAAATAATATTTATAGAGATATGTATCCTATTTTACAGTAAGATTGTGGTTAGTTGCACTTTGCTATGAAAACAATTTTGTTAATTGTGATATTAACATTTTAAAAGCAAATGTATATCAGAAAGCAAAGAAAGCTAATGGCAGCACAACATGGTTCCAGAAAGACTATTTAAATTATGTATTCCAACCTCAAGTGTTTTTTCTCTACCCATTAGAAGTTGAGACTAACAAGACAACATGGCACATGGATATGTCTGACTGACTCTTCCAAATAGTTAATATGCAAAAAAAAAAAAAACCCAAAAAACCACCTACAGCATCTGAATTTGCAAATAAAATAGAACTTTTACAAATCTTCATGAAAAAGGACAAAGATTCAACACAACAAACCAATTTCTTTCCTGGTGTAATTTCCACTAAGGTCTAGGTTATATCAAGCAGTATCTGACCCAATGTGCTTTCAGTAGCAATAAGTTATACTATAAGTCATAAACACACACCTCTAAACTTATGTCCATGACAATTTATCAAACCAGATCACTAGCAAAGGGAATTTTTAATTAACATGATAACTATATTTATTTGGAGATAAAAAGATGTCTGCAGTGTTTTGATAATATAAGCAAGACTGTATTTTCAGTTCTAAAAAATAGATCTATTTACTCCAACTATTGTTCAAGAATTCACTCACATACTAACACTCTATCCCATTCCCTACCTGTCAATATCTCCCAATGCAATCACAAAAGATAATGATGGTTTAGCAAAAGTATACATCATGAGTGGCAAGTACTATATAAGAACATAGAGAATTAAGCTATTATTATATGCTGAAAACAAAACACCTATACATTAGGAAATGCTTCTAAAACATACTTAACAAAAATCAAACTTTGTAATTCATGTAACCGCAGCGACGGACAAAATTTCCTGGATACTTTGTGTACGGAGGTTAACACTTACAGAAGGACTTTTTCAATTAATATATTGATATACAATTTTTTTCTCTTATTTCCCTTAATGTTCTCAGAAGCCAACATATGAACTGCATTTGCTTAACTTCTCTTTGTATTTCAGTATGTTGTATTATTATATTTAGGAAAATCATTTGGGAATTAGTATGTTCATAAGATATATTAATAAAACCATAAATACAAGAACTTTGCTCTAAAATGGTTACATTTGAAATTGTCTTGTCAAATTAATCAACAATTATACTTAACATGTGACCTTTAAATAACTTTATTTTTCACAAAACTATTAGCTTGTCTGGAGTCAGACACTCAGTCCCTGTAAACTATATTGAAAGGAGTGTGCATGTAGATGGAAAACCCTTATACATGATTTATATACATATCTGTTTATTTCTGTGGTTTACTTATTAGCTTTTGGATAGTAAGCTTTTATGAAAAGCAAACACAACTTGAATGTAAAAAAAAATAAAAGATTTTATTGAGATACACTTAGAGTTATACCTGACCCCCAAAAGTTGACTGCTCTTTTAAAAGTGTTTTAATAATCAGAGCAATAAGTATTTGGATAAGTGGTGGAAAACTAAAGCCTTTCTTTCCATACTGTGAAGATTTTGAATAGTACTTGTCAATAAAGCAACTCCCATTGTAATCGTACCGGAGACATGGGCCTCCTCCCAGAAAAAGCTGTCTCAGAGATACTAACCTCATTAAAATATGAATGAAAAGACAGCCATCATTGTAATGGGACAAAGCCATTTTACTCTGCGCCAAGCTTTATCTGCTATTTTTTGTAAAAATATAAATATGATGCTCAGCAAATTAGTCATTACATTTGATGTGCATCTTGATGCATTAATTGTTTTAATTTTTCAAATAAAACACTGTCTAAATGTTTCTTTTTGCTAATCATTTCATAATCTTTTGATTTTCCATATTATTTGAAATGTTTAAAAATAATAAAAGATACCCTTTAATTTGTGTTTAAAGTTCACTGACATTTTTGCTGTTTATTTTTGTTTCCCAGAATATACCAGCCAATTTCAAAACACAGCTAGAGAATTAATTACAGACTACTTTGGCAATACCTTAATAACGGTCAGTTACAGGATGTTCATATGCCAGTTCATTACTATGTCTCTGTTAATCTCATAGTTAATTTCTTTTTTGATAGATAACCACAGCCAGCCAAGAATACTATTGCATTATGTTATAAGAGATATAAAAGATGTAACTGCATTATATATGCATTCTCAAAAACAATCAAGTATTTTTCAATAAAACTGTACATATTTGGTTATATTTTTAAAAAAAAGAGAACCAGAACTGATCATATGCAAAGCTTTATGTTTTACTGTAAATTGTTTCAAATAATTTTTAACACGTATTTTAAAATGTTTCATGTAGTTTAATCACTATCATTTAATCCACAAAAAAGTGTTCAGATCATTTTTTATATTACTTAAAAGTCAATATTTAGAAGTGAAAATTCAAACCTCCTTTGCTCTAGGCTAAAACAGGAGAAACATGAATACTGAGCAACTCTAAAGGCTGATGGGATATATAATTAGCTATTATGTTAATTGAATCCGCTGTGAGTTTGTTGTATGAGATTTCTTCATATAATATGCAAATAGCTTCTAAGGTTTAGTTTTTATTAGACAATATAATTAGAAATCATCTAAAGGAGTGAATTCTAATGAGGCATAATAAAGATTTGTAAAAATATCTGTTTGCTACATGAGCAGACCATCTGGGCTTAATCAATAAAAGAAACTTTATTGTATTACAGAACATTTAAAAGAAAGTACAGTATAAGAATTTATCTTTCCAGCTTCTATTCATAACAAACTCTGCTTTAAAATCAGGAGAGTTCATGTTAATAAGAAAAAAGGTGACACTCAGGTAATATGAGAGGAAGTCACTCTGTTAATCAGACAGTTGGAATATTGTTTACTTAAAAATAAATTAAAAATAAAAAGCAGTTCTGAGCTGTGTTGTCAGTTATGTTTGTATAGATGACTTTAAGTGAAGTATTCCTTGAACAAAGTTAGCCATTATTATTACTATTAAAAGACGTGATCCAAGCAGATGTACATACATTAGCCTTTGTAGTGTAACTAATCAGCGTAACTTCACTTTCAGTAAGATTCTCCAGCATTTTAATATCTGGAATTAAGAACTCTCTTACAAAGGAAGAAATTCACACTATGGTATTCCACAGCAAGTCACAAACTCAACAGTTGTATTACTTTTCATTTAAGACCAACACCAAACCTTAAACTATTTTAGTTAATGCCAGAATTCAAAATCTGTCTAATCTCTAGTCTCATGCAGGCTATTCACACTTTAACTACTGCCAGAAAAAATTACTGCTTAACTGTTATCTATAACATCATAATAATATTATAATAATAATAATACTTCACTTTACTATGGTATTTAAAGAGTAGTATGGGTCTGGAATCTTTTTAAATATTTAAAAATGGTCACTAGTCGCACACTATGTAAAAGCAGAAACATAATGGAAACTGAAATTCCACCCATACAAAAATATTATCGCACCAAATACAGTACCATTTCAATGCACACACAAATGCAAGAGAGGACTTTTATGATTCAACGACTCATGCAGCATCTGGACTCTGTGTCTTCTGGAATATGTGTAGATTTACTGGTCTGTGTCATAAAGTCTAAGTTCCTAAAGGGTAAAAGATCTGTAATACCAAAAAAACTACAAAAAACCAA